ACAGATGTGAAAACCCCCACTGGACTGTCAGCTCCATGAGGGCAGAGACCACCTCTGTTTTACTCACTACTACCAGCATGTAGAATGTACTTGGTGAATATTTGCTAAATGATTGGATGGATGGATGGTGGGAGGCAGAGCCATTTCCTGGAAGAAAATTTAAAAGTAAGAGTAGGATTGTAGTTTTGCTTTTTTTTTTTTTTTTAAATGAAAGAAAACACACACAAAAAAATTCAAAAACCACTCTCAGATTATTTGGTTGTGGAGTAGTATGAAGACTTTTCCCAATGGATGGGGCAGTCAGATTGAAATAAGAGGATAAATAGATTTGAGTTCACCATATGTAGTTCAAGTTGGGGCTAAGAGGTAGAATTTCAGGTTAGGAGAAATAAGTACAGAGAAATGCCCTGTAGTTTTGGCACTGAAGACATTGCTCCCTTCTCTGGTAAATTGAATTTCTACAGCCTGGGGAAGGCAGGACTCACACTAAAGGGAGTTTAATATGCGTGATCATTTCCTAGAGCTTAGAGAATAAGAGGAGAAAGGTGGGGCAACAAATAAAACTAAGAAATAGACAAAGGGTACATTTATTTGAAGATATTTTTTTTTTTTTAATTTTTATTCATTTGACAGAGAGAGAGAGAGAGATCACAAGTAGGCAGAGAGGCAGGCAGAGAGAGAGGGAAGCAGGCTCACCGCTGAGCAGAGAGCCCGACGCGGGGCTCGATCCCAGGACCCTGAGATCATGACCTGAGCCGAAGGCAGAGGCTTAACCCACTGAGCCACCCAGGCGCCCCTGAAGATATTTTTAAAGAACCTTGACACCCACAGGAGTTCCTCAAGATGTTTATGTAATTGAATATAATTTATCTGGGATTGAAAGAATAATAATCAAAACATTTTTACTTAAGTGCATCTGGAGGCATATGAAATTAGACTCTTGATGGTGGCCTATGATTGACTGTGTCCTCAGTGCTTTGTCCTCAGGCTGCAGACTGGAAATGTGTTTTAGAGAGTAGACATGGAGCACAAAATATTAAATGAACTTTACCATATTCAAAATGCCCAACAGTGTAACATCCTCCTTGTTTGGCAGGGAAAGGACTCAACATTTGGTAACTCAGCAGTGCATTAAGTATTTTAATAATCATTGTTGACACACAAAACATATGGCCTTTCAGAACTTATTGGGTCAAGTGTTGAAGTCTTCTTCTAGGTTTCTAAAATTACTTTACAAAATTTAAACAAAATAAGGCACATTTCAAAGTATATTAATTCACGAGCTTTATGTTATAGGCAACTGAAGTAAGTTTTCTTATAGGATGAAAGAATATCTACGTAAAGGAAAAAACAAAATCTACAGCCCCCCAAATTAATTTACATTTAATTAGAAGATCTCGAGCCTCCCCATTAGCAGGCCAGTCTTGTGGATATCTTGTATTTATTGTTTTTACTCCTATTCATGCTCAGATATTCCCCCCCATCTCAGAAGCCTTTATTGTTCACCTGTTTATCATTTATATCATTTATCTGTGGCCACAATAATGCTGTGAAATAAGCAACTCTAACATTCAGTATCTTTTTTTTATTAACACATAATGTATTATTTGCCCCAGGGGTACAGGTCTGTGAATCATCAGGCTTACACACTTCACAGCACTCACCATAGCACATACCCTCCCCAATGTCCATAACCCAGCCACCCTATCCCTATCCCCCCCACACACCCAGCAACCCTCAGTTTGTTTCGTGAGATTGAGTCTTTTATGGTTGGTCTCCCTCCTGATCCCATCTTAACATTCAATATCTTAAGACAATAAGCATTTCTTATCACTTACAAGTCTTTGGGTTAGCAGGGCAATTCTGGTTTCTGCTAGGCTCACTCCTGAGTATGTGGTGAGCTATGGGGTAGGAAGGGCTTCTGCTCATTATGGGTGGCCTCCCTCACATGTCTGCGGGTCAGCTGGCCAAAGGCTAATCTGTTGGGACAACTGGGCTCCCCTCCTTGTGTCTCTTGCATGCACAAGACTCTCATAGCCCTCCAGCTGGCCAGCCCAGACATATTCTCAGGATGGCCTGGGCATGTTCTCATGACCATCTCATAGAAGCAGGAAAGTGGAAACATGCTAGCTTTTCTTCCAAGCTTCCAGTTTCATCACATTTGTTAACATCTCACTGGCCAAAGCAAGTCACATGCCAAGCCCCAAGTCAGCACAGTGGGAGGAGCCTACAAAGTTAAAGGGCAAAGTGTGGGGATACTGGGAGGCCAGTATTAGGGGCTTTAATGACATCAACCTACCCTCGTGCCCTACACCACCCCAGCTTTAATCAATCCCTTCTGTTCTGCAGTCTTAGTTTTATTGTATTTTTCCCATTGTATTATAATATAGTTGCTAATCTGTCTTTCTTCTCTAGAAGACTACAGGGTCTTTATTCCTAAGTGCATTCATGCATAAGTATTTACTGACCCATTGCTTCATTCATTCATTCATTCATTCGTTAATTTATTTACTGACCCAAGACTTATTCCTTTATAGAGGCCCCAGTGCCTAGCAGTAATGCTGACACCATAATAGGTGCTCACCAAATATGTGCTGAATGAATGCATATGTGAAAGTTCATACCCATATTCATCTTGCCCTTCAGAAGAAAAGGGTGGAGACAGATGCCTCTCAGGATCCCAGCTGAGGAAATCTTCCTGGCTTGAGCAACTGGTGAACCAGTGGGGGCTTGCAGTGAGGATCTCAAATGCTTTGAGACATCTTTTTCTTCACACTCTCCCATGTCTTCCCTCTAGAACTTGGGTTTTCAATTAGCAATAACCATGCCTCGGATAAACCTCATTGGCTTCGATACTGCCACTGCACAAAGCTGGACCTTGGGTCTTCTTTTTTGTGTCTCCTTAGTCCTCTCAAAGGAAGATAGAAAATCACTACTTTTAACTAATTCTAAATTCATTTTATAGTCTGTGCTCCCAAGCATCTTTGCCTCTAGTTTCTCTACTTTACAGTGGGAAATGGTCGAGCTCTGGGATTTATTTAAGCTTATGGTGTAGTCAGTTTGGGAGCACCTAGATGGCTTCTATGCTCTGGTTTTCCTGGCCATGTAGACCAGAAATTCAGAGGAATTCTAAGGAAATGTTTTATATAGCTACAGATACAAGACCTTATTCATATAGGATATTAATCCTATCAAAATGGTGTTAAATGCATTGGCTCATTGTTTTCCAATTCTACAGAATTGGGTTTCTGGGTAGAATCATAATTTTGAGCTTCTTGATTTTCCAGTGACCAGTGTAAGTTGCTTGAGAGGCAGAATAGTATGGCTTTAGAGTTAGGCAGGCTAATCTAGAATGGCAGCCTTGCTCATTAGTTACTTCCACAGATGAATCCTCTTACCCTCAGCAGTCAGAGATGGTAATAACAGAGGCTAAAAGAGAATGACTGGCATGTGGTGAGTGAATTGTATTAATTATTCATTTGTATCAATTATATTAATTGTGAATTGTATCTATTGTTAAATTGCTTCAATTGTTAAATTGTTACAAATGGTAACAACTGTATCATTTGTCACTATTACTATATAATGCCCCATAATCTTATAAACTGTGAATATTAGTAGTAGTGTCAGTTTTATATCAAATATAAAAACTGTTTTATATCAAATAATCTTCATGTTTATTTTTATTACAAAAATAAAATCATTTCTAAAACAACTTTAAAGGTTATACTTAAAATTCACCTTTTGAAATGGCCTGGAAAATTTCTTCATTCAGTCACCAAATATATACTCAGCACCTGCTCTGTACCAGGTCACCAGGTGCCGATCATGCGATGGTGATCGAGGTAGACATCATCCTTGCCTCCTGGTAAAGAACTATCACTAATGAGTTGACATTACTCCCAGGTTGCAGTTACCTGCCTGGTAACTACAACTGCCTGAATTGTCTGAGGTAAAATATTTGGTATTTGGCTGGCTTTCCCTGGTTGAAATAGTGTGGTGATGCTTCAGATTAGAGGAAGGAGAAATTGTGACTTTACCCTTTTTAATGTAGCTATATTATTTTTAAAACCTATTTTTAAAAGATGTATTTATTTTAGAGAGAGCATGCACAAGCATGATGGGGGGAGGGGAGGAAGGAAGGGAGAGGGACAAGCAGACTGCACTGAACATGGAGCCCAATGAGGGGCTCAATCCCACAACCCTGAGACCATGACCTGAAATGGAATCGAGAGTCCGAGGCTTAATCGGCTGGGCCACCCAGGCGCCCCTTAAAATCTTCCATTTTATTATCAAATAATGTATATAATTGACATTTTTGAATCTTTTACTGACCTCACTCTATTTTGAACTATTGCATGGCTGAGGGATGGGGGGAGAATTGCTTGTGTACATACTCAGTAATAAAAAGTTGAAAGTTTACCGGCTTTTTAGGCTATGTTACATTTCTCTTATGTGGTATCCTCAGTTGGATCTTGGAACAGAAAAGACATCAGTGGAAAAGCTTGTCAAATCTAAATAAAAGTCTGTTGTTTAGATAGTAGGATTGTGTCAGTGTTGCTTTCTTATTTTTAACAAATGTACTGTGTTATGTAAGATGCTAGCATTAGTGAAGCTGTTTGAAGAATATATGGGAAGTCAGCTTCAAAGAAACATAGGGAAACAACAACAGGGTGAAGGTTATTCCCTTGCCACCATGCATGTTTCCAGACTTCTGCCCACTATGGTCATTTAGTGAATGCTCTGAGAAGAGAGGAATTTTAACTTTTGACTGACAAAAATAGGATGGCAAATCTACTGTAATATCATCATTTGCAGAGCTGTTGTTGAAGTCCTCCGGTGGTAAAGAACGGATGTTGTAGGAACCTCTCACTTGCCTGAAATTTTCAAAGGTGTTTTCTTGTATGAGAGAGAGAAGCCCACTATGGGTCTTCCCTCACTGGCAAATTTTAACCACTTACGAGTCTAAGTGGTTCAAAAGTCCCCTTTTACTTTCATAGGTACAAACACAAGTACGTCTTGCCAAAAAAAGCTTTGACAAGTTGAAGATGGATGTATGTCAGAAAGTGGATCTTCTTGGAGCAAGCCGATGCAATCTGTTGTCTCATATGCTAGCAACATACCAGGTAAAAAAAAAAAAAAAAAAAGTGATGTTGGTTACAACAAACCAAGAATGTTATGAGGTTTAGGGGGACAGAAAGATGGTGTTGGAGCTAAAAGTATGGTTTAGGCATTATGAAGTTCTTCTGAATGTCTTGCCCCCAATTTACTTTCCACACTTCTCCCTTCTAGTAGACCTACAGTGTGCTCAAACTGAATATTAGCTCTTTCCTGTTCACACACTGCACTTTCTCACTTTCCTGCACTTACTTAGGTGGTTCCGTCTGCCTGAGTGCCTTTCCCTTCCATTGTACCTTTCCATAGTCCCCTCTGTTTGATGTATCATTCTGAGTATCATGTCCTTCAGAAAGCCTCCTCTGAATTAACTCCATGTGTGGCCTCTATTTCCCGTGGCACCATCACTTACTCATGAGGTTGTCATAATTCAAGGAACTATTAATTTTTGTCTCCTTCTAGCTTGAGTTTCTTTATGATAGTTCTTATATCCAACAACAGGGCTATTGGGTACCAACTGAGTATGGGAGGCTAGATCCTGGGTGTTGTAGGGAATGTAAAAAGTAATAAGACCAGATTCCCTGTCCTCAAGGAATTTAAAGTTTCAGAAGAAAATCAGAGGTAGGGATATACAGTCTGACTATATTGTTTCTGTATTTTAAGGAAAAAGCAGGTGTGAGTGCTAAGTGAAATAAGTTCTACACAATCCAGTGAGGGTTTGAAGAGGGACAAATTGAATCAGTGGAGGGATCACAAAAGCAGATTGATCATGATCCCTGGGTTTTGGGGGATGAATCACACAGGACAAGTACAAAAAAAAGAAAAAAGAAAAAAAAAAGAAAAAAACAGAACAATGTCCCAAAATGGTGGAGCATTATTAGCCATGGGAGGCAGTCCTGGGGGACCTGGGAAGCATTTAGTTTGTCTGAAATACAAGGTGTAAGGAGGTACATAATGGAAAACAAGTCTGCAGAGATGAGCTGGAATCCTGTTTGGGAGGGCCTCAAAAGCCACAGATGGGCACCCTTCTCCAGGGCCTATGGCTTAGAACTGGGAGTTCGAAACATTAATAACTGTACTGTCTTTCCTTATAGACCACTCTGCTTCATTTTTGGGAGAAAACTTCTCATACTATGGCAGCCATCCACGAGAGCTTCAAAGGTTACCAACCATATGAATTCACTACGCTAAAGGTATGAAAGCTAGAGAGGCCATTAGAAAATCTTATGAAAAGTAATGTTTTGTTTACATCAGAGAGTGTCCATGGCAGCAATCATCATGATTGCAGCAGACTCCCAATGTCAAAGAAGAAACCATGCCCCCAGTATAGTCTTTTACTGCATCAGTTTTCATCACAGTAATACAAAAACACAGCTGGAACCTTGGTACATATTACTGGAAGGTGAATTGTGGGAACTGGTCCTGCTTCTTTAAATGACTTGTATGGGGCTCTCTGCTCAGCAGGGAGCCTGCTTCCCACCCCCTCTCTCTGCCTGCCTCTCTGCCTACTTGTGATCTCTCTCTCTGTCAAATAAATAAATTTAAAAAAATATTTAAATGACTTATATGATGCTGTTAAAAGGAAGTTTGTACAAGTCTAGTATAGTCTATTACTTTTTAATTATTAAATTCACATATGTTCACTTGGAAAAGGTATTTTCCTTTCCTCTTACTTCTGACAAATGTCATTTTATTCTGTGAGTATCATCTAATGCAGAATTAGATTTTTTCCATAGGACTACAGGAATATTTTCCAGTTGAAAAAGCAATGTTAAACTCAGTGATTTCTCAACTCAAAGGGGATATAAGCAAAATATCTGATTCTCAGGATTGCAACTGAATGTGCAATCATTTTCATTGCTGAGGGAGAATGCATGTCAAGAAGAAAGTGACTTGGGTTCCAAAAGGATTTTGAGAATGAGAGAAAACTAAGTACTTTGTTGCTAGGTCATATCTTTGGGGAAAAAAGATCAGGAAAAAACTTGTTAAAGATCACCTTGAAATTACCTTCCTTCTAATTTTTCAGGCAATTTGTAAATAAATCATCACCTTGCTTGAGAAAGCATTAAAAAGGTATTGTTTGTTTGTTTGTTTTTGTTTTTTGGTTGCTTTTTGTTTGTTTGCTTGCTCCCTTTAAAACATCTCTCTGATTTTGAGATGTTTATAATGTCACTGCATCTATAAACTACTAAGACAGAAATTTTAAGACCCTGGCCCTTTAAATGAAAGTCCCAAGAGGAACCCAAACTAGTTCACTCACCTTGAGATGCACCTGCCCTAACTCCAGACAGGACATCTGGCCAGTGAGGTTTGTTCTTCATAATCCTCCCGTCAGCTGGTCATTTTCTCATTTATTGGCACTCGCTGACATGCTGCATGGTAACCAGATTCAGAATGTGCCCCTTTTTTGCTGTCAGCTGGACTGTAAGCACTTGAAGGGAGGGACCTTTTCTTTCTTATGTATCCTCCTTTGTCAAGCCAAATGTTCTGTATCCAGTGAATGCAATGCCTTTCTTTTCCCATTTGCAATATTACCATTGTTGGTAGGACTGTATTCCTTCCCCATAATTTAGTACCACTTCCAGCACCTTAGGAAGCAGCTATCCTGACTAAGCCAGGTTGATTAAAATGATATAAAAAGACTTACACTCTTCACATCTTACACAGGCCTGAACGGAATCCCGTCACTCTTTGATAAGGCAGAGAGTTTTAAGTTTTAGGGTCGGTATTTGCATTAGATTTTATTTTATAATAAATACAATTTCAAAGTTTGTCTTTTGAAAGACAACTGTACGTAACTCAAATAGCTAGGGGGAAGATGGCTTGACGCCTTCTGCAAATACGATTTAAAAGAAGTTCAGGTTTGAGTTAATTGCATATAAAGTACAGTATGAAATTGAAGTTGTGCCACAAGCATGGAAGAATCCTTATGTGTCTCCCTGGCCTCCTGTGCCGAGGAAAATATGGCTCTTTAATTGTTGCCATGATATTTATCCTGCAGAGAGGATCAAGCTGATTATGTTAGAGGATTTCTGGGCAGAGCAGTTAGTGAAAGTTTGATGGCAGTGGTTCAGGACATAATTACAAATATTTTGGGCACATGACTATCCATTGCCTTTTACATACCCAGAGTCTTCCTTAAATTATGGTTTAAATAACAGTTTATGGTTTAATTGTAATATAAACTCAGTAAAATATCTGTTAAAGTGTAATATAATTATAGTAATATTAAGAATGTTAAGTGTCCAGTAATCAACCAACTAAACTAGGCTGTTATTAGTTTTCTAGAATGCTAGTCATCTAGGCTTTTCAATGATGTTATATTAGAATCACAAGCTAGTCACTATTTTCTTTATATGAACCTAAACCTATATAATAGAATCCTGTTATCACACAGCTCATTATTGCATACATAGAGACATATTACATATCATATTGTGTGTCATGAAACACAAAAATGAAAACCACTAATACTTTATCTATTGCCATCAAGCATGAAGATATTAAATGACTTAGAAACCTTTTGCACTAATATATATATATTTTTTAAAGATTTTATTTATTTATTTGACAGAGATCACAAATAGGCAGAGAGACAGGCAGAGAGGGAGGAGGAAGCAGGCTCCCTGCTGAGCAGAGAGCCCGATGTGGGGCTGGATCCCAGGACGCTGGGATCATGACCCCAGCTGAAGGCAGAGGCTTTAACCCACTGAGCCACCCAGGCGCCCCTGCACTAATATTTTTTAAACATGCCTTGTTTTTAAGAGGTTTTGATTTGATTGAGTCATTTTCAATTTATGTCATTTTCTTCTGAATGGCACTATATATATATTGACAATGGATATTTTGAAATTTAGATATTTTAACAATTTATTTGTTCTCTGGATTTACCTAAGCAAATCGTCCCCAAAATGCTTCTGGGACTCTGGCTGGAAAGAAAACATTGTCTTTAGAGAGGTTGGCCAAGCTCTGTTAATGAAAAGCAACCCATTTGTTTTCTTTTCTGCAGGGTGTATTCTGAGTGTTGGTAATTGTGCCACTGCAGCTGGATTTCCTGACTGTTAGTTTTATGCTTGATGAAGGATGATAATTAATGTGTTAAACACTAGATGCATCCTGTCTGGAGGGAAGAGTCTTTTGCTGCAGCATTACAGGGATATAACTCATGCCCCAGAAGTTTAAAGTTTTATTTCTAATGAAGCTTTCTCTAGAAAATATGTGTCATTCTTTCCCAAAATAATTTTATTGTAAAAATGAATTGAGTCTCCACCTCTTACAACTTGAAAAATACCCAAGTGACTGTGTTGACATTTTGCGAATATTTTGTAGTAATGTTTTATGTGACTGCTATTGCTTTTTTACTCAGGCTTGATGTAGTTCTATAAATTGTACCTTTATTGACATAATACTTCATCATTTAAGTTTTTTTTTGTTTGTTTGTTTTTTGTTTTTTTAGCTACCCAGGTGCCCCCAAGAGGCTCCTCTTTTTTTTTTTTTTTAATTTTATTTTTTATAAACATATATATATTTTTTTTTCTCCAGGGGTACAGGTCTGTGAATCATCATTTAAGTTTTATGATTAATAGATTTTTGTAGCATCTTACCTTTATGGGAAATTTAGCATTGAAATTTAATATTACAAATTTCTTTAATATTACCATTTTTTTTTATCTGAATGCAGCAAAGCTCAAATTTAAAGTGGAGAGAACCATCTTTTTAAGTGGTTCCTAATAAAAGAAGCAATGTTCTAATCTCGTATGTTCAAACAGTAAATATTTAGTTTCATTAAAATGCTATTAAACATAGGTATTTTGCATGGGTTATTATTAATATGTCAATTTTAGACTGATTCCAGAGCATCTGAGAATGACTTTCACATGATAGAAATAGTCATGGAGATACGAATGGAATATTTCTAGCCCTATCTCAAAAGTATTGTCACTTTTTTAGAGAAAGTAATTTAGACTATGAGTTTAAAGCATTTTTTTTTTTAGAAAGCTAAATGAAATGCTGTCTGGAGGAAAACAGTGCCCTGTCTTAAATTACCAGCCCTCAGATGTGGTCATGTTTACCTCATCCTTCTATGATGCCATTTACTTACACACTTCCCCAGAGATCCAAAACAGGCTTCAGAGAAGGCAAAACAAAAACAAAAAAGCAAAAGCAAAAGGAAAAAAACCCCCTCCAGAGTGGAGTTGGCTTTTCCCTGAAAAATCTAAAGTTCTGTTTGTATCAGTGGTCTTTTCTCCCTGATTATGTGGGTTGAGTTACTTGTCTTTATAGAGAAGTGAGCCCTGGGGGCCCTTTGAAGAAATGGACACACCCACTCGGAGCTGCTTGAGGGGAAGGCACGTCCTCCTGTGTTTTTTTTTAAAAAGATCAGAGCGCCTGTATATAATGAAAACAGCCAGTAGTAAAATGGATTTCTGTGATGTGCCCTCATTCCAGTATTTTTAGCAGGAAAGATAGGTAGGTGTTTGACTCTGGATATAAGATAAAGCAAAGTACGTAAGGTCAGAAGCCCTGCAGACAGCCAGACCTGGCTTAAACTTTGACTCATCACTTGCCAGCTCTGTGGCAGTGCTGGTGGCACCAGTGGTCCCACAGTGGCCCCACGGAGCGATGGGTTTATCAAGAATTCTGTAGTGGATCCAGAAGACAGCCATCGGCAGTGTCGATACAGATAGAGAGTTTTGTTGAGGTTGCCAGGTTCTGTAGCCTAGCATAAGTTACTTTCTTACTTACTGTTTTCACCCTGGATGGTTATTTTTGCAGTTATTTTTCATAGGCAAGGCTGTGAATGGCAGTGGGAGAGGCGTCACAGACCTCGCTCAGGATAACCTATTCCCTTCCTGACTGCCACAAATGCTCTGGCAGCCCCATTTTCAAAACAGTGCTTTGGCCCTGCGGGTTCAGGTCTAGGCTGAGAGAATTCCCCCAAGGATAGAAGATGGCAGGGCAGGCCTGCAAGCAAGAAAGGCAGGGAGGCTTCCCACCCTGCAACAGGGCTAATTCTTAAAAAATGCACTTTGGCTTTGCAACTGGCTTTTGCCCTGTGCCAGGATTTTAACTAAGAAAACCCGAATTTGAAAACCTAACTCTGGGCATGTTCAAAAATAACCATTGAAACAGATGTGCCAATGTTCCCTCTCCTCTCTCTTGGGGTCTAGGACTTAGCACTGTTATAAGGAAC